CTTGAATGAAGGCGCTCTATTGTAACATAGTTGTAGCGATGAATGGCGCAAATTTTAAATTTTAACATCTAAATAAAGTTTGTGTATTGACCTGAATTTTATTATATATTTTAATTATAAAACACAAACATGACGCATTTAAACCTAAAAGGAATAAATTAAATGGAGACGAATAAATAAATAAATAAATACATTCATACATATACGATGTAAATATACACACATTCATACATATACGATGTAAATATAAACGAGTATTGCTTTAGTAATTCCATATGAGCCTCTACGTCATTATGGTAAGAAGGTAAAAGCTATAGCCCTGTTTCGAACCTTCTTTCTTATTCACATCCACGGAAGGAAGGATGGATGAATAATTTCACAGCCTCAAAGCAGGCGTTCCGCTAGCCGTTGTCATAACTTTGAATACTTCATAGCATAATAAAAAGCATGTTTCACAGTTCCTTATTTCTCGTGTCGAGATGGAAAGTAAGAAATGTGGTTGATGATCCGGAAAATGTATTATATTTTTCCTTACTCTGTGAATTCACTGTCTGCGATAATATGAAACTCGCCAATCAATAAGTTATACATAAAGAAGGCTGTGAGTTGTGATCATGTATTTCCTTCACAAGCTTCATTTTATTCAAAAGATAAGCAATGTTATGCACACGTTCTGAAAGGAAATTGATTTCCTTTCATCATAGAAATATATGGGCAGTTCAGTGCAGAAGCGACCTAAGTCATAATTCGATTGTTATTTAAGATGCTGTTACACGAATGTATTTCTCAAATCTCGAGGACGGATTATTGCCCACACGTCCTGAAACTACATTAGGGATTCTGCAACATAACTGTGGCGCGTTCTGTAGGTCTTAATTATTCAGACAATTACAGAATATTATTGCGATGACGTTTATTTGGAAGTTACCATAATATTACCGAAGTGGTTCGAAGCATTTCTCTCCCCGCACTATTTGAAAATTTCTGAGGGTTTTAACAGACGCTTAATTATTTTTCTGACTGTTGTAATGAGGCCGTAAGAACACAGATTGAGGTAGTTTCTGAAGAGGCTGCTAAGGAGAGTATTAGACTCGAGAGGGGTGGCGTGATAGGAGGTTGGATAAAACCGTGTAATGACAAGCTCCAAAGTTTGTATTCTTCGTCGATATTATCAGAATTATCAAAAGAGTTAAATATAGATAAATGGGCTATGTAGCGCTCATGGGGAAGTGGGAAATGCGTAGAAATTTTGGTTGGAAGGAAGGGAAAAGATTACTCCGGAGACCTAGGCCTATATGGGAGGATAATATTAAAACGGAACTTATGGAAAGAGAGTTTGGTGGTGTGGTTTTAATTGATATGTCTGACACGCTAAGTAATTAACCGTAGGTATTTATGAATAACTGAGGATTTGTTGACTAGTTGAGCGTACTCTTAGCTTCTCAAGTTTACTCTGTTGCGTGGAGTTTGGTTTAATCAGCTTCTTGTTAACTTTGTTTTCTTTGTATCAACAGACACAAGGCCAAACTCTTGAATACCAAAAACACCAAGCATTGTGGTTCATGTTATTGGCATGCAATTTCATAAGCTATCCAAGCATTTGCCTGATTTAGTGTGTGATGTTCAGTTGTTTATTTCTGGCAAAACTGATGATAGATTAATTGATTACAAATTTCCATAAAATAACACCCTGCAGTGATTTCGAATCGTTTCAGTTTCACGGACGGCTAAAATACCAGCGCAGTTTTCGAGGATGAGAACCCAGTCTCTCCTGTATTGTAGAGTATATACAAAATAGTTTGCAAATCTAATTATCAATGATGCGTATAAATATGTATGAAATTAACACTTTTGTGTGTTATTAAGACTCGAGGGACATCATTAACGCACACATTGAACATATGTAATTAAAAGTATGAAGAGGGATTATGAAATAATGTGGCAGACAGGCTTCCGTCTTACTGGGGTTTAAAGCAGGCTTGCCAAAATCGAGGCCCACTTCGATGTTTCAGGCTGTCCAACTCAGATCTGTATAAATCATGACATGTTGCCTCAAATGTTTAAGTTAAGAAATGATGTTATAAATGCAGCTCAAACTAATAGAATACTGTCCACGTGTGTGTGTCTAAATTACTGACCAAATTCTCAATAATGACGCTGGATGGCAGAATGTTATATTTTTCATGTGCTGCTATCACTAGGCAGCCTTTAGAAAAGGTTGAAATAAGAGTGCTTAGTATGACTGGAGCTCTTCATTGTTTTTGTTTTTGGAAAGAAGGCAAAGAATATGGGAGCCAAAATGGAATATGCAATAAGGGATGAAGATGCAAAAGAAATCATTCCCAATTTAATTTCAACTACCCTTCCCCCCTAGAAAATGAGACTGTCATGATAAACAAGCAATATCATAATTTCACTGCAGTTATTTTAAGGATATCCCGTGCGAAAACAGAGGCAGACACTACAACCTTATTCAACGGGATTCTTCTCTTTTGGGTAATAAGGTACAAAGAGAAATTTAGGATCTCAGATAACGAGATTAAATTCATGAGACGGAACGCAGAAAGACAAGACTCCCAAAATTAATGGTGAAGTACAGAGCTACTGTAAGAAGACAACAAGGCAGACTGTTTTAAAACTGTGGCTGAATCCGGCCAACAAACGCGACATCTCCTTAAAAGCTTCGTGATGATGGCACATTCGACATAAAGGCTATTATCGAAGGGAATTTCCCTGGAGTGTGGTAATTAGACTTGTATTCCAGGGAACCTCGTTTATGAATGTAATTGTATTAATTACTTAGCTGGCTACGAATATCCAGATAGCTCGGCCAATAGAATGAATAGGTTACTGTTGGGAATTAGTGGTAGAGGAAACCTACACATTCACGTAAATATACATCAGAGATGTCTAAGTTTTTTTCTGTCACAAGCAAAGCATCAAATCTTTTTATTGATTTCCTTTTTTACTTTTAAAGAAGTAACTCGAAGAACGGATCTGTTTCATTTTCCTTATCTGACCCTCTGTCTAGTTTTCTTTCCAATTCTTCGCCCTTCTTTTCGTTCATAATTTATTTTTCTCGTTTTCCTTCATGGTTTTATTTCTACTATCTTCCTAATTCGTAGTCTCTGTCTTCTTTCTCCATTCTGTTCGTTCTTATCCACTTCCATTTTTGTGACACTTTTTCTTGTACAATTCCACTGCGTTTTTCATCTTCAAGATAACAATCTTTTCTATTAAAATGTCTCTCAAAATTTTCATCTACCAGACCTCCCACCACAAAATGCTCTTTATTAGGTAATCAAGGAATAATAAACGTCAGATATCCTTTGTAACAAGACTGAACTAATTAACCCTGGAATATCTATGATAATTTCCTTTCCCTGAACTCTGCGATGTGACACTAATTGTGTTCCTTTTTGTACTGACCTCTCGCAAAGAATCATCGTTCTCTCCTTCACTTGACGTATGTTCAGAGGACAGATTCTTCTAGCCTGTTGATTCCTTCGTGACTAAAGTTTGTTAGATTCTGTTTTAAGGAAATCAGTGCCTGCAAACAAGTCTTTGATGTTAATCAATAAACGACTAAGGCCAATATAATTAATTAAATGTTTAAATATCTTTTGCATCTCGATAAAAATTTACAATTACCCCGATGTCACACGCACACATACGATAATGCGACTGATTCTCGGATTCTCCGCAACTAGGTGTTTTATTTTATATGCTTTACCTGAAAGAGATTGACGAGAAGCTGAGAAAAACAAACATTTTAGTCGAAGACCCTCGATATGCAGCTTGGCAAATGAAAGAGTAGATTCAAGGATAATATTAAAATGACTCTTAAATACTTACTGTGTGGGTGGACTGGATTTATGCAGGGTCACGTGAACACGATAATGGATATATTGATGAGCTAGTACTCTCCTCCACCGAGTCTGAGAACAAAATAAAACAGACGGAAGTTCTGAATATTGTTAAAGCGTATCTGTTGACACAAGTGCAGCCTAGCTATCATAATGTCATCAGTGAACTTATGCAAATTCCTCACATAGTCGGATTACAATTTGGGTACATTATTGATCGATTTATTATGTCAGTATATATTTGCCTTGAAATAATTCAGACACACAAAAACAAAAAGCCAATTACAGGCACAGGAATGAAGAATGACGGTTGTAATAGTGTTATATCATGCTGCAATTAATACACGAATAAACTGTGTTGTATTTACCTAACTCACTCTGTGGTTATTAGTTTATGTACAGAATGACAAACAGCCTTAACTATATCATGTCATGCATGGGAGGGAAAGGGATGCTGGATGCAGTCGACAGCCACAACCAATACGTGACTCCGCAGAGGGTCACTAGCGTTTGGAGGGTCTTCAGCGGGCGGTGCAGTTTCGGAGATCAAATATCTACACAAATATATTTCATAACATCGTATCATTCAACGCTAACTCTAAACACACCAGACGTTGACGTTAATGTGACAATTTAGAGATGTACAGTTCGGCAGAATTTATCATTAAAAGAAATATTTATCTAAAATATATAAAATCATGCATTCAAACAAAACTGTTTACACTTTGAAAAAAAACTTAGTGAAGACGCAATGAATATGGTTTTACTCGATAATTTGCATTTAATTTAATTACGTTTCGTATCTGCCGTCTACTGTACACCTCATTAACATTAAATCGAATATTTAATTATGAGACACTCTAGTGTTGAATGGCGTTAATTAGTTCAAGAAATACGTAACAAGGAGTAATGCTGTGTAAAGCTAATGTCAATATCTGTGCAAGTCGTATTTGTAATAGATTACGTGTAAGTTACTGATGTAGTGTTTCACATGAGTGGTGTACTAATTATCAAAGAACTGTGCAATTCAAAGAGCAGAATACTTCTTGAGAACCTGATAGTTCATCATAAATAGAGAATAAATAAATGGATATTTCTTTTACTATAAAATATTCGTGGCTGGGATTTGAATCTCCCCCCCAACTCTGTATTTTATTTCAACTCAGTGTGCATCACATTTACTCCACAACCACGAAGGGCAAGAGGATAATTCAGACTTAAGTTACAGAGTTCTAAGGAGACTGTGAACTAGTAAAATCTACCTTGGATTTTGCTTTAAAGTTTCTATTCCGTAGGCAGAACAAATGAGAAAGTGAACCTTATTAACTGAGCTGATGAAAGATAGTGAATCGTGTAATGATTTATGGCTGAACAAGGTCGCTAAGAATAAAAATTTAGAGCGAACCTCCTACATGAACACACTGCCACTGGATACAGATTTATGTCCTGAATAAAAACTTGTGACGATTTAATTAAATTTCACAGCATTTTTCCATCTCTCTCTTCCAGTGAGCGGTTAATTTCGACTGTTCTAATTTTTTTCAAATGACATTAATAATGTGAATGCAGTTGAAATGACGTACATGACAAAATTAAATTTATAAATGTCCAATCACGACATTTGGAGGCAGTATGATTGTGAAATGATTACAATCAACTTTGTTGATAATAAATGATAATTATCGGTATGAAACATAAGCCATATCGTAACCCAAACTTTTTTGAGATTCTCCTAGTCAGTCGCTCATACTGTCAACAAATTCGCAGCCCTTAGAAGTAATAGAAAGTTGAGTATCTGTCCACACTAAACCTTGAAACCAACTGAAGAGAGTTCACATCCTCAAGCTGTTTCAGTAAGAAACATTAAAATCACACACATGAGCGCAGATTTAAAACAGAATTAAGATATCACACCCCAAATATTCTTAATATCCGGTACACACATACTCCAGAGTTGTACAGTATGGCCGGACGTTAACATTAGAACACGAAGGCGCGAACTTATTCCAACTTCTATTTAACAATCATATAACCGTGATGTTTATCTTTAATGGAAACTGTTGGAGTAGAAACTTTATCAAAGCTGCCCTTAGAATTGTAGGGGCTTCAATATTACTCCGCCCAGGTATTTGTCGTATTTTGAAACACCGCCATTTGCAAAATGCTGGTGTATTTTAATAGACCGCTAGGTGAGCATAGGTTTATGTAATTCTCCTGTAATGTCATTTACAGAGACTCGATAAGTAGCGCGATTTCTTCCCACTCTGAAGATTATTCATGTAATTCTGTGTCTAAAATTTTGGCGTTAAATTATTGAATAAGGCGGTTGAGGACGTTTGGAGTAGAGACGATTATATATTGGCCATTAATTCATATACAGTATTCACCATTTAAACTGCAACCCCAAAACCATTACGTACTGCGATACAGATATGAAATCAGAAGAAGGTCCACCCTCGTGTAATAGGATCTTCCAGCCTCCCACATGACACTTGAGTCAAGGTCACCTGGTTGCTAGGCCTCTGATCTTGCCTGATTTCAAAATCCTGTTATGAGCCTATTACGGCTTTATTTCAGTTGTCTTTTTATTAATTATTTTCTTTTATTTCAGGTAAGCGGAATCCAGGCATTTATAACATCGGGATTTCTGATTGGTAAGTGATATTAATGCTCTTAATCGACTTAATTTTTACGCATCTAATCAATCTAACGTAAATGTAATTACTTCAGCGAAAGATATTGAGTTGCAACGTTTTATTGAATTGTGTTATCGAATATCGTGATAACGCCGTTAAGAATAAGTTATCATTTAATTGGTTCTATCGGGAGTTTCCTTGCTTACTTTAAATTATACAAGATAATTTAAAGGATTTATGTACACATAATAATGCGGGCCACGTTAAATACAATGTGCTAAAAATCTGTATTACACAAACAGTTACTGAAGTTTCATTCTCGTCGAGTTTGACGGGGCAAACGCTTGGCTAGTTTCCTTTCATTTAGTGACCAAACGTAATGAGTCTAAGGAAATTGTTAGGTATCCATATTTGTAGTTGTTGGCAACACAATATTTTTTTTATCAAATCATGTCATAGTAGAAGAATCACACTGGATCCGTATATTTCTTGCGTGAGCGTTTAAAAATAAGGAATCATTTGTACTTTCAACTGGCCTAGTTTCATAACGAGGCAGAAACTGAATTGTGAGACGGTTTTATGAACCTTTAATTTCTCGGGGCTAATTCAGTTTTGGAATCGTACTCTCAAGTGCGGATTTGTTTGGGAACCTGTACAAAGCAGTTCTCTTAGCACGAACCTCTTCTGTTCCTCGCCTTTAGTTCGACTTGTTATGGAACAAGAAGAAGAGATGGCGGTTGGATCTGGTGGGGCCTGAGAGTCTAGAAATCGAGTCAAGGGTTGGTAGAAAATTAATTACCAAGCTGTTAATCACAGCTGCTGCTGTTCGAGCTCTCTTATACATTACACTCAGTACTTCCTTCACATCACCGACAGACACAGAAGACACTGGGTTATGTACGAGCAAGAACTTAACTGCTGGGCGTTGAAACGGGGGGTGGGGGGGGTGGCACATTTCAAATGAGAGAAAGAGAAAAAAGAAAAGACGTAGAAAAGTTTCGGAAGTGTTCTTGGTATTGCATTCGTAGTTCCCCACTCTTAAGAGTTCGCTCTGTTCAACGTCCCAAGAAAACATAGGCTTTACATACATAACATTTGCAGCTGCTGTTACTGATGAGGTTGTGGTAATGCATAATTTTCTTTTAGGTACGTAACCCCGAGACACCATTACCAATTCTTCTTGTTTTGTTTTTTTCCCGTCTAGTATTTGTTGCGATATACGAGAACTTTCCTCAATTCCTGTAGCAAGTTTAATGTGAGAGTGGAATAATGTTGTAAGTAGTCACCCAATAAATGAGCTGCTTTCTAGATTTTGAGTAACTAAAGCAAGTAAAGCAGTCACCCAATAAATGAGCTACTTTCTAGATTTTGAGTAACTAAAGCAAAACTGGACTTTCCTTGATCATTCATGTTTATAAAATGTATCTTCTTCCTTGTAGTAGAACAAGATTTCATCCCGTAAGATTTCTGTTACTGCAGATTTTATTTGAATGTTGAACTTCCGAGTTGTGTCATAACAAATACGATTTCAGGAACAACAATTTGTTAAAGATCGTTGTCTTCCGGGATGTACCACCGTCTTACTTTATGGACGTTTCAGAGCTGCTTGCTGCCTTCATCAAACACATGATCATTGAGGCAGAACGTACCTCTAGAACGGGAAAATTCTATCAGATTAAACGGCGTTAAAAGTCAGAAGACGGCATGCGTGCCACCAACCTCACCTAACCTAACCTAACCTAACCTAACCTAACAAAAACTAACCTAACCTCACCTAACCTAAACTAAATCAATCTAACACAACGTAACATCAAGTAACCAAACCTAAAGAAAATCAACCACCCCAATATACCCCAGCCTCGCAAAAGCCGATCTGCAAATCCTCTTCACTGACCTGATCCGACATATCCCAAGTTAACCGAATTTAACTAAATCAGCTCCAAAGGACCTCAGCAATAAAAATTGGTCTGCGATTGCGCAACACCGCGCATGCGCGTCACTGAATTAACCTAGCAGCAAAAGCTACACAACATAACGAAGCAAAACACTGGTCGTTTGCTCATTTTCGTAACTAACCTCAACTTATTTAACCTAAAGGAAATCAACGCAACGAAACTGAACGAGATCTGGCCATTAGAAGGTGTACATTGCGCATTTGGTTCTGCACATGCGCACAGGTATTCTGCGCATCATCGTTATAACCTCTCCTAACCTCTGCTCCTTCGGTCACCAGTGGGATTATAGCAAACAGCTCTGGAACGTCTGTAAACTCCTACCAGACTATAGAACGCCGTATATTAGCGTACATTTTTTCCGCCCGAGTTCTTATTCTGCTTGTCAGGGCTGTGTCCATGCCCCAGAATTTAGAGTCTATATCCTGTGTCAGGTCACACCGTTGGTTCACGTTCCGTTCCGGATATTAGCACGCGTTTATAT